TTATAATTCTCATTGTGTGCATGAGTCGGGAAATTAATTATGAGTAAAATGGCTTTCAGTGGCAAATTATTTTCCTGCAAATTGAAAAATATTTGAAAATTACTGAACCTGAAATCAATATTTGTTCTTATAAATATTCGGTGAAACCATTCGTGAAATATTCGAGAAGTTATCCAAGCATTTTTTAAAAATGTTGTTATGCAGAAGAGTATTGAAACTTTTAAAAACCTGGGGTTATATGCTTATCCATTTACCAATGGAACTAATTTATGTGATCCATCACAGTTTGCACCAAAAAGGACTGAAATTCTGTCTTTTTGAATTTTATGTCCAGGGGCGTTTTTTCAAATGCAGAGACATATGTTCTTTCTGGTAGGCAACGAAAAAATAATCCAGTTTCGTCGACATTACATATTTGTGACTCCATTAACTCCATCTCAGCAACCTTTACACGATATCGATGGATAAAAGAATTGACTAAAGCAACATCACTAGAAAGAACCTTCCCACAAATTAAAAAAAAAAACGGATACCGTGACGTTTCTAAAGTTCTATCACTTGCTCTAAGTTGTGAGTTTAGTTCATATACCGGCGTATAGAGAGGCATATAAAAAAATCACCACTACACACACACTATTGGCATTTTTTCTATGAAATTGCACTGAAAAAAATATTTGGTTATTTTTAATTTTGAAGATTAAATTGCATTACTGTAAAATGCGAATATTTATAAACAAAATGTAATCAATGTACATAAGAATGATAATTTCTTCACATAGAAACAACATTTCAAATTAAAATGTAAAAAAAAAATATGAAACAAAATAAACTTATTTACTTTCATTGTTATGTATTCTAGAAAATTATTTAGAGTCTACGTTGTTTTTGTAAATTATGCTCTTGCTTTTGCAAGTTGTTTTTGTTTTTTCAAGTTGTATTTGCATTTTATTTAACAAAGCGACACCAACCTGCTTTGTTGAATGCTGTAAAGCAACTAAATCCACGATCGGCAACTCCTATACACTGTGTATTTTGACCGTTACTAAATTTACACAGACTACTCACACGCATAGAAAACACAATTCAGTCTCATATCACAAAGTATACAGAGTTGTCACTTTTGACATTTAAAAAAGTCTAAAATCAGCTTTTGTTTGATTTTGAAATTGTTTGGCGAGAATAGGTATATAAAATACAGCTACAAAAAAACATTGAAATCGTTTTGTGCGAAAGAGAGGGAAATAGTTTTTTGCTCATGACGCCTCTGATACCCTGTGCTCATATGAGCTGTCATTGAAGGAGGTTGTGTTGTCGCTCGTTTCTTGCTTTTGCAATGAAAATGAACGAAAATATATTAATGGAGGGATGGATAATTCTAATTATTGTTGTAATTTTTTAGCATCTACACTACATATTATGTAGTTTTTAGAATTATAAACTTTTTTAAATGTTTTTTCTTACAACTTAAGTAGCAAATTACAATAATTTACCAATATATACATGTAATTATGTTAAATCTTTACATTTTATATGTATATATTGTATTAAAAACTTAGTTAAAAAGCTCATATTTCTATTTCGATATTTAAAATAAATATGTGCAAATAAGCCCAAAAACAATATGTGCTACTCTTAAACTAAAACAAATATTAGTTTTGTTTTAGATTACTATTATTTCGAAATTTCTGTTATCCAAGCCTGCCTTGTTGTGAAAGTGAGAGTACAACTATTACTCATTTCTTGTTTTTTTCGCTCTTACACTTATACAAGTGCAAAATGTGGTAGTATATGTCTGCCGATCCCTGAACTAAATAAAATATTTGTATTTTTGATGCTCTTGTTTAGAAGTTCGTATGCGATCGTGTTGTGTACATGTAATTTGCCGAAAATCTTCGTTGTCAGAAAAATACAATACTTTAGTTATATACTAATATACTAATATCTTCACAATGCCGTTTTTTAAAATGGTCGGGCCATACCAAGTCCCGTCAGATAATGGGTTGAATGTCGTTAATTTCCTTAAAAACACTAGTATTATTATGGAATTCTGCACTAATCACCAGGGCAACCAAAAATATGCTCCATAAATGTGTTTTATGCGCATAAAAAATGCACTTAAAAACTAAAAATATGCTCTAAAAATATACAAAATATGCACTTAAAACTTCTCATTTTCAAAATGAAATCCCCGTTTTTTTACCATATTTGAGACCTCATAAAAAAAGCGGACAGACACATTCATCTGAATGTCCAATCTGTCGACTTAAAAATAAGGTTTAACCTTTGTCATATCTCTATATTTCTTCGAGATATCTTAACTTAAAGCTTGGAACAATCATAAAATTACAAAAACTCAATTTTGCCTTTATTCTATGCCAAACGTATTTGTCTCAATTTGTTCAACCTTTATTTTAAAGTCGACAGATTGGACTTTCGGACCACACAACGGATTTTATAAATGAAGGTGTCTTCTCGCATTTATAAGGTCTTAAATATGTCCAAAAACATGGAGAATTGGATTCGGATTAAGCGATACTCAATAATTCAGAAAAGTAAACTTAGGTCTCTGGGTTTCGACTTTTTTAAAATTTTGTTGGCCTGTGTAATTTGCTAGGAAATGATATATAAGCTTAATTTTTTTTGTTTTACATTAAATTGATTTATTTTTTATATTTGAAAAACAAACAAGTAAGAATGTATAGTCGGGCATGGCCGACCAGTGAGTAGGGGCCTTAATTCCGAAATATTTAAACAATTTCTTGACAAAAAAAAGTAATTTTCTTTTTTTAAAGAAGGGTTATACGGTGGCAAGGGTAAATATCGTCCTATCCTTACAAATGTTGGTGGACGGATTTACATTAAAGTTATTAATGCCAAATTTCTCGTGATATTAGTGTTTATAAGTGAATTATTGACTTTCATGTCCTTTTCTGAAGGGGACTTTGTATGGGGGCAATGATGAAATGAGGTCCGATCATTACGAAAATTGGCAGTTTCGTATAAGTTTAAATACGAAACTAAGTTGTGCCGATTTTTGTAGAGATCCTGAAACATTTAACATAATTATGAGTTTGAGGGCCCTATTTGGGGGAAAGTGATTCTGATCCGATTTTTGTATGTTACAAACATCAGCACAAACGCATAATACCCTCTCCACTATAGTGGTGCAGGGTATAAAAATGTTATTGAATTATAAAATAAAGATTTATTTCAATCTTTTTCAAAGTGAATGGGTCAAAAAAATTTGACAAACTAAATTTTATCAATCAGAAGTAATTGATTTAAAACGAATGGGATTAAAAAATTATGATTGCTAGAATTAAAAACATTTTATTTAAACTTTTATTTTCTAAATAAAGTTTTCTAAAAAAAAATCTTTTAAAAAAATTAAAAACATTTTCTATTTATTGATTTCCCAAAAAAAAATTTTTGAATCTATTTTTATTTAAAAATTATAAAAAGTATGAAAAAATTAGATGAAAATAACGAAATATGCAATAAAAATATGCGATTATGAGTAAAATATGCGGAAATATGCTGTAAAATGCAAAATATGCAAAAATATTCTGTAATGAACAAAAAATGTAAAAATATGCTTGATGCCAAAATTCATTAAATTTTCTGAAATGGATAAATAGCTAACTCACGTCTCCACACGACGCGCAGCAAAAATGATATTGCATATTGCACTCTTCCAGAAAATCAGTTTTCATTACATAAATTGCTAAAATATATTGAAATTATGGCAATATTCAACATGAATGCTTTATTAAAATATAAATAAAATTTTAGATATACAGTGGACGTCCAATAGTACGTATACTCTTTATTACGAATATCCAATAATACGAATGGCAAAATTGTTGCATTGTCTACTCTATAGTACGAATAAAGTCACAATTTTTCTGTTCGATAGTACGAATAACGCATTTTTTATGGGAATTTTGGTTTTATTTACGTATGAATGAAGTTTTTATTATGTTTTTATTTTATTATTTCGGTATCATTCACCTTAAGCTCAGTAATTTTGAAGTTTTTTTGTATTTATTACAAGTGTTTTGTATTTTTAACAATTTACTGCATGTATATTTACAAATCAACAATTATTTAGTGTTATTAATTTATTTTATTGGAATTTTGATGACCCAAGAGAAGAAATTAATTTGGATGATAACGCCAATGAGGAAAGTATTTTATTAGTTCCCGACAATAACTCTGCTGAGAACAATATTGAAGTCTCAAAAGCGCTGTTATTGAAAAAGCCGTAAGAATCATTTTACAATGTAATAAACATCGATGTTAAATGATGGATTTTTTAATAAGTAAAATGATATTTATATACATATGTATGTATGAACTGTTAATTTTGAAAGTAGTGTGACTCCACATTCCAAACAATGGGTTTAAGGATAACTATTCTAATTTTTAAGAGAAAATTATAAATTAGAGAATTGTGGTATATTCCATTCAAGTTTCTAATAAAAGTTTTATGTAATCTGAACATTTTAATACATTTTAGAACACATATGTAAATTGCAAATTGTCTTTGGCACACATCTTTTTAAAAACATTAAAATTTAAAACCTTCTACATATATCTCATTTCAACCATTGGACTCACGATACTATCAAAATTAACAATTCATATACGTAAATATGTCCCTTTTATGCCTGTTTATGTACAAGAAATTTATTTAAAATAATAAACATTTATTATATTTTGTTCCGTTATGTAATTTTTCATGAAAAATAAAACAAAAATAAATAAAATCCAATATTTTATGTGTATTATTTGAATTTAAACTTACAAAATGTGTTGTTCAATAATACGAATTTTTCGGTATTACGAAAGGGCCTGACACTATATAATTCGTACTAGTGGACGTCCACTGTACTCATAACGGGTTTAGGATATCATACGGTCGGTCATATCCGATATTTTCTTACTTGTTTAATAATAATGTTATTTTAAATTGTATCTACTTTTCTGTTTCTTTGCAGAGGATTCGGCTTCATAACTTTTAGTGATCCAGCTAGTGTAGATAAAGTTTTAGCGCAAGGTACACACGAAATAGATGGTAAAAAGGTAAAAGTCAACAATAACAAGTACATACAAACAAAAATAATACATATTACATTTTTAATATACTTAGTGGATTCACATGGTCGTCATAAAGTCATATATGTATCATAAAATAACATGAAATTACTACTGTGAGCAACCCTCATATTGAGTCGGCTGATAAAAGAAAAATACGATTGTAAAAAAGTACAAATATTTTTAATAAAAATGCCAAAACCAAGTCAAAAAAAAAACTGAAATAATAGCTGGTTTGTCCATTTTCTAAACAATTTTCTGCAACAATCATAAAAGTTAACGCTTGTATTCATAAAAAATTATTATTTGGTTTTAATACACACCTTAGCCATTCATAAACCAATAATAAACCTACATTAGCTATGTAGAAAGACGACATGTTGTCGAGTTTAAGTTCTGAATTTGAACACCATGGGCCTAATCCTACATTAACTATGTGGATAGAGGACGTGTTGTCGAGTTTAAGTTCTGAATTTGGACTTCATGGGCCTGCCGTGGGAGCGGCCAGAGGTCCTCAAAGTAAGACATCTCGGGTATGTTTTAAAACGATCCTATTTCGTCGTTTGTGGTCCGATTTCAAAAGAATTATTATATATGAAATCTTTTTTTCAACTTTTTTACACACCCTTGTCCAAATTTTTCTAACTGTGGCTCCAAATATTTCCCGAGGTAAAATTGCCTCCTTTGGTTTTTTTCATCATTGTGTTGGATACGTGACGTATGCGTATTATTTAATTTTTACTGTCACAATTTTGCAATTTTTCCATGAGATGTTAAATATTTCCTCCGTAGTAGGTAGACATTTTATATATCAATGGATTAGAAATTAAGTCTAGTTTTCAGAAATAATTTTTTTAGGCCTAACTATAACATGCTTAAACAAACTGAAGTCAGCTTAAGCAACTGTGCGAACACATATAAAATGTATGTGACAAACTATAATGTACTTAAGAGAGTTTGGTCAAGTTTCGTCAAATTTTATTTGCTTAAGCAAAGAGCGATCCTGACAGCACATTACGTACGGAATCAATTCTTTGTTTATTATACACAAAGAAAATAAAGAAAAAAATGGAAAGCTACAAGAAAATGAATTTAGTTCAATAAAATATTTTGAAATATATATTTTTTTTATTACGTGTGTCACATAAATGTGCAAATAGAGCTAAATTGTTCTGAATGCACGTAAGTATATTAAAACATTTGTTGTTAATTGAACAAAAGAAAATTAGTAAAAATCGGGAAACTGGACAAGGGTGGGTAAAATAGTTAAAAATTTAATTTTCAAATACAAATATCTCCTAAGCAAACAGATACTTATATCTAAGACGAGGTACTCATCGATCGGATTTCATACATAATAATTCTTTTGAAATCGAACCACAAATAAAGAAATATGATAGTTTTACAAATTTAACAGGTGTCTTACTTTGGAAACATCTGGCCGCTCCCGCGGTAGGCCCATGATGTCAGAGATCTAAGGACAGAGCAGGACCTTTACAAACTTGCCTAGAATAGGCGTAAATTTTTTTAAAATGTTACATTTTTCAATCTGACATTCATAGCTATTTACGAATACAGTTGTAATACCGCGTAAATTTAATCTCATTGTAATTAACACCTCCGAGTCAAATGCGCATTAAAAATTTGTTAATGCGAACTTTTTATTATAATTTTAAAATTTTTGCAAAATTTAAATTTCTTTTTCTTTGTATTTTTAACTAATGACGTGATGCAAAAATTTGTAAATTTTATGCAGTAAATTATATTGATGGATAAAATAGCTATTGCGAAAGAAAAATAAATTTTCTTCTTTTATAGCGGTCCTAGCAGCGTTTATCTTAAAAAACATTTTGCTTTCAGACAACTATAGCGGCATATGATTTGCGTAAATTTTAGTGTCAAATAAAAGATTTCCTCTTGCATTATGCCAAAATCTGGTGTGCACTAAAATTTTTTAAGGATATACAATTTTACGACTTAAATACAGATTTCATAACCTTAAAAATAAATTCACATATTTAGCAAAATTTTTGGCGCTGCGAATTATGGCCCCAGATAAAATGGCCCCAAAACATAAAACGAAATATGGCCCCAACAAAGATACAGGAAACAAAAACACGAAATTTTTGTTTTTTTTATATATTTTTTGGGGTATTTCAACATTTTTACATTTGGGGTAATACTGCATTTTGCAAAAAAATAAAAATGACCCCAATGTTGTGAAATGAAGAAATACCCCAAAACAAAACTTTTTTTCCTTTGGGGCTAATTTTCATTCTTAAATTTTGTAAAATACGTAAATATTAAAATATTAAAAAGGGACCTAAAAAACCATGTAATAATTATGGTTGATCTTTCATTATTACTATTTATTAATATTTTATAAAAAATCAGAACATTATCGCGCGATATTTTATACATAAATTACAACAAATATTATTACATTTTTTATAAAAAATATTTTATGTAATAATATTTGTTGTATTTTCATAAAATGTTTTTTTGAACATTCTTGAAATATTTTTTGTAAAATTGCGCGATTTTACAAAAAATATTTCAAGAATGTTCAAAATTAACCAACATTTTAAGAAAATACAACAAAAATTATTAAATATGAAATTTTTAAATATATTAGCATATAGTTGAGGTGGGGTGTCATATTGTCCATTGACGTTATGACACACCAAAAGGTTTCATAGTGTCCATGGACGTTATGACAATTTTTAAAAGTGTTATAATGTCCACTGACATTGTATCACTTTTAAAACAGAACTGTATTTGAAAATTTGTAAAGAATTTAAGAAAGGGACACTTTTACCCCCAAATTTGGTATATGTTGCATTTTGGTTTCCATTTAAAAAGTGTTCTGGATAGCCGGCCTTCGGTCGGGCGCAAGGGTTTTAAACTCTGGGGTATTTCGAATACCGGCTTCGCTAAATTAAGCCTTCTTTTGATAAATGGACTCTTTGAAATCCATGGACTTTATGTTACTTTGCTCATATGCATTGTGACACTTTTAAAATTGTTATAACGTCCATTTAGTGAGTCATAACGCCCATGGAAGATATGACACTGGACTTTATGACACGCCACCTATATTTGAATTAAAATTAAATGGGGTGAAATTTCATTTACGTTTTTGGGGTAATTGTTCATTACGAAAAATTAACCCAATATTTAGAGCCACTTTTCATTTCAACCTTGGGAAAATTTTATATTAATTTTGGGGTGATTTTTCGTAAAAAATTTTAGGGTTATACTTCATAATGAATTTTGACCCCAACATTGGGGCAATTTTTTGTTTTATATTTTGGGGCCATTTTACCTGGGGCCATTATTCGCAGCGCCAAATTTTTAGCAAGTTAACCACATATTGTAAAAATATACGAGAAAGCTACTTCAAATGCCCATATTTTTGAAACCGACTGAGATATTAACATAGTTCATTTTGCAAAGCATTGAAAATCATATCTTATTTTAGGACAATTTTTTCGATTTTTTTTGTTTGCAAAATTTCGTGTTTGAAAAGAAATTGCAAAAAAATAAAATATTTTTTTTTAATTGTCAGTGTATTTTCAGAAATATGAAATTTGCGATCATTATTTTAACACGCGCTGATAGTCCTTATAAATGTTTACTAATGGGTACTTATTTTATTTGAAAATAGCTTAACCCGTATTTTTAACGATTTTTTAAAATTTGTTATTTTAAACCGCTATAACTTTTGCGCGCATCATTGAAAATAATTAACGTTTTCATATTTATTATGTGTAATTATTATCCAATTCACCCATTAAACATGATTCTTGTCAGAATCATATTAAATTTCAAAAACTCTAAAATGTTTGTAGAGCCTTAACTAACTTTACGGTTATGTAAAATAAAAACCTGTAATCAATTTAATTTACTATCAAAAATATATAAGTATCATATTTTCCACCGGAAAACTATTTTTATTTGAAAACCCTTAATCTGCTGTATATCCTCAAAAAATAACTATTTTAAAACAAAATCGGATGTAGTTTCCTACGATCGAGAAAACTATAAGCTATATTAGATCTTGAATGAATGTCTACGATGCCACATTTGTATGCAGAATAAAAGCTACCGAACAAAAACCGCTCCTAAAATAGGGTAAATAATATATTCATATTACATTTTCACAAAAATTCGAATTTTAAATCGGTTGTGGTTCCTTATATAACACTTAAATCTATCTAGAAAACCATTCATATCTCCCCTTAAAATTTCTATTTATATAACTCTTTAAAAATTTACTTTAAATCTTAAAGTAATACTTAAAAATCCGTAATCACTCATATTTTCCATACAAATCGAGATTTATATCAAAAATATAAAATTTAAATTTATTGTTAAATCGAGATAACAATAAAAATCTGTTATCAGTTAAATATACCATCAAAAATTATTTTGATTCGGTTGCCATTATTTAAATGCAGCTCAAATCTAAAAAAAACATGAATATGTATATGTTGAATTTTATCACCATACGTCGATATTAATATGAACAGTAATATTGGGAAGAGAGCCATTAATGAGGGCTTAAGTATGGACCGTGCTCTTCCGAATTAAAAATATTTTATTTTTTTGTCCAATTTTTATAACCTTAAACTGTGTTTCTTGTAAGAGTTGTTATATGGAGGATAGTGTCAATTATGGACCTATGCTCATCAGTTTATACAATAATTATTTGTATCTTTAATTCAGTCATGAGGTTTAAAGTAATTTTTTGAAGGAAACCGATCAATTATCGACAGATCCTCATCAAATTCAGTTAAAAAATTTCAGTTCCTATAAAACTTCCGTAATTTGTAAGAACTTTTGAGCCATAGATGAGCGTTAAAGTCATTTTCTGGAGTGAATCTGATATAAGGGTCAATTATAAATCGATCTTCATAAAATTTTGTACATAAATTATGTTTCGTAAAGTGTGGTGTTATAGGGTCAACTATAGACTGATCCTCATA